AGCCCACTCCGAGCCCAGGGGTCCCCGGCATCCAGCGAGCGGAGTCGCAAGCTCGCTCCCATCAGAGACCCTTTCTGCCTGCACCAGTTCAGGTATCCTCGTTCCTTAGGCTTGTTAAAATCAGCTTCCACCTTCACGTACAAACCTCCAGCCATTTTGCTTACAAAGCAAGCGCCTGCTAGGCTTCAGTCGCGCCTTTTCAAAACAGCCTTCTCAATAACGGTCTTGCAGCAAAGGAAGCTGCTGGAGTCACCACAGTAGTTCTGTGCTGGCGCCCATCGCAGACCTCTGGCACTTCCCCACGTCCAAACTAGATCTGTCCCGCATGCAGCTGCGTCTCCCAGCCCACCTGCCACCGCTGTCCTCTCATGTCGGTGTCCGTAAAGGCTGTCCACTGCCTCCAGCCACTGGCGTTAAATAAAAGCACATCCAGAGAAAGGGTTTCTTCCTTCCAAACAAGATTCTGTGTTAAAACCAAAATCTGACAGAAGCTCTTCCCAAGATCTGCAGGTTTTGGATTCTTTTTTAGATTTAGTAAACTCTTGGACTGATCTAGCCTCCCTGAGTCTCAGCTTGTTCTCCGTGTCGGGCTGTCCCACGCCTACTGCAGGACTAGCGCTGTGCTACCAAGCTACGCGCCGAAGCACCTCTCCAGGTACCACCCGGCTTCCAGGCGACCTTACCTATCAAACAGCCACCCTCCCCTCGCTCGGTCAGGCATGGAGGATGTATGTATGCATGTATGTACGTTTGTACATGTGTGTGTGTACATACACAGGTATGAACGTGGACACCAAAGCTGGGTGCAGTTCCCTTCTCAGCCGTCAGTACAACGGCATACCCAACATGAAGTATTAAGAACTGAAACCGTGACAAGCAGGTGAAAATGGTATTTATCACTTGGAGGATCAGATCAGAGGCAATCAATAAAACCCCGTGAAGCATAACCGTACACAGTGATGTTCCTTTTCCAGTTTCCTGGCGGTTACTTTAAACCTGGACGTGCAGACACACCTTCAAACGTTCAGAATTTCATACGCAAGTCAACGCACACCGGGCACACGCGTGTGCAGTCACAGCCCCGCGGGCAGGGCGAATCGCTCCGGCGGGGCCGGGCTGCGCAGCAGGGATGCTCCCGGCAGGCGACGAACGCTCCGAC